CCCCCAGCCCCTTCCCCCCCAGCCCTGTGCCTCACCAGAGGGATGATGAAGCTCTGGGTGAGCTCCAGGAGGTGCCGCCGCAGCAGGGCGCTCTGCACATCTGACGGCCGCTTCTTCTGCACGCCCTGCAGGGAAGGGGGGCCAGGCCCTTGCTGCACCTCACACCACCCCAGACTCCCTGCGTCCCCAGCCCCCTCCCGCCACAGCCCATACCTTGAGCAGCCGTTTAAGCAGCGCCTTGTCGCGGTGGAGGTGGGCTGTGTACGCGGTGTAGAGGCCTGGCAGGAGGGCACAGCTGGCGCCCCGCCCTTCAAGGGCCCCCCGCCCACACTCCTGCAGCCCCACAGAGGAGCCAGGGTGGGGGTCTCATCTGCCTGCAGCCCCATGCCCTTGGCTGCACCTGAAAATCTCACCCACCCCACCCCAGACACAGGGACCCACTGAAAAAGACAAGAGGGCGCCCCCTCCCCAAGGGTCCGAGGGTCCGAGCTCTGCTGCTGAGTCCTGGGAGAGAAGCAGGGGTCGGGGGGCCGGGCTGAGGGGTCTGGGCTCTGCTGTTGGGTCCTGGGAGAGGAGCAGGGGTTGGGGGCCCGGGCTGCCCCACCCGGGAGACCCACCAGGTACAAGACAGGCCCCTCCACTGTGGAGGGGCTCCAGGTCAAGGGGAACACAGACCTGGCTTAGTGTCCAGGGTCTTCAACCTTGAAGGCTTTTTCAGCTTGACTTGCTTAGGAAAGTCTCCTACGAGACATGCCCGGTGGCCAGGCCTCAGTGCCCGCAGCTCTGGCCATGGGCTCTGAGGCAGCCCCACACTCAATGAGGCTTCTGAGCATCACCCCCTGCACCTCCCCGGGAGCCTGACCTGACATCTTGGGCTCCCCGACTCGGAGGATGTGGGGCCAGTGCTGGAGTGTTTTGATAAAGAAAGGGTTTGTGACTCCCAGGACCACGTTTGGTCTAGACAGAGAGAGAGAGAAGAGGCAGAGACAGAGGTCCAGGGAGGTGCAGCAAGGACGAGAGAGGTGGGGCGGAGGCGGCACTTACGGGGCCTGCGTGCGTGTGGTGAACTCCTTGAACTCGCTGTCATGGATGGTGAAGTAGGGACGGAAGTCGCAGCAGAACCTGAGGGGCTGTAGGCAGCTGTGGGCAGGAGCACAGGAAGCAGGTGAGGCACAGCTGCGATGGTCCAGTGACCCCAGCCGGGACCGAGCCAAAGTGGTACCTGGTCAAGGCCAGCACCATCTCTGAGGACACATCGGGCGAGGGTGCCAGGACCAGCAGGGGCTCCCCAAGGAGCACAAGCTCCCACAGTGTCTGCACGTGAGTCAGCACGGGCCGGAAGCACCTGGGGCCGGGCAGGAAGGTCAGGGAGGTCAGGAAGGGGCTGAGACTCCTGGCCCTGGCCCTGCTCTCCCACGTGTTCACCCAGGTGCCGGTGAACACGGCACGCTGCGCCAGGTGAAGACAGATCTGTCTGAAGATGTGAGTGTCTCGGGTTATCATGGCCACCCCGAGCTCCGACAGTCCACCTGTGCTGGGCCTGGGCCTGGGAATGGGGGACTCAACCTGGACCCACCTATGAGGGACCAGCTGTCCTAAAGTGGCCCCAGGGCCGGGGCAGGGGCTGCTGACCTGGGATGGGGGGTACCCACCCGGACCCCTCTGGTCTCCCTGTGCCCATCCCAAGTGCAGCCCTGGCTCCTGTTGAGCCCTCCACAGAGCAGGATGGTCTCAAAGCCCAGCCTCCCTTGCAGACTCGCCCAGAGGCAGTGAAGGCAGACTCAGGCAGCCTCTCCTGACAGCCTCTCCTGACACTGTCTTTCAGGACCTCCTGCCCACTGTGCCCATTTCCGCTGGCTGCAGCCATGTGGCACTTGCTTCCTCTTCTACACAATTCTCCCTTCTTCCTTCCAGAACTGTCCCAAGGGGTTACTCAGGATGAGCGCTGCCTCCCTTGGGCAGTCCCCACATGGCGCTGGCCATACACACACACACGTGCACACACGCACTCACACACACACGCACACACGTACCTGCACGTGCACAGAGTGAGCTCCCCCAAAGCAGCATGCAGAACCCTAGGGGACTCACCTGAACAGGTCCAGCTCGTGGACGCTAGCAAGAACCATTGGGGCTGGCAGCAGGTTCTGAGAGGAGGGGAGTGTAGGTCAGGGCCAAGGGGGGCTGGCACCCCTTGGGCCCCAAGCAGCCCCTGCCTCACAGTGCAGGGGAGGGTGGAGAGCGCCCAGCCCTACACCAAGGCACAGGCTGTGGCTTTGCCTGGGTTTGACCACCCCACAGGGTGGACCAGGGAGGCAGGTGTGGGACCACCCAGCCCAGGAGCAGGACTCAATCGGGTGAAGCCCTCTCAGCTCCGCCTCCACCTCAGCTCCCACCTCTTGATCACACTGCTTCGGAGGACTGGACTCGGACTTGTCCACCCTGGATGGGATGCGCACCTGGGAGGAGGAGGGAGCAGCTGCCAGAGGGAGTAAGGCCTCCCCACACACCTGCAGAGCCTGCTCCCCAGCCAGCTGACTCTCACCTGGACAACAACGCCCATGACAGGTAGGTTCAGGGTCTGCCCAGGTGCAGGCGCCGGCCACTGGTCGATCTCACTGCACACTGCGGATGCAGTAGCCGGCGTCAGGACCCTCCCCAAGGAGAAGCTGCTGTCAGGCCCACCAGGGGCCACAGCTGGGATGATGAGACCGCGATGGCCATGCCTGATGGCCACTCACCTGCTTCCAGGCAGGGCGCCAGCTTGTCAAAGTACTCAGGGGCAATGAGGCTTAGCAGCGCCTGGAACAGCCGGACAAAGGGCAGGCGGGACACCAGCACCAAAGACTGCGGGGCCACGGGGCCAGTTAGAGGCCCCCAGCTCCAGGCCTCACTCACCCCAGCCACTCAGGAGCCCATGGGGACCCCTGAAGCCACGCTCACCTGGAGCTGGCCCAGGGTAGCATGTCCCACCAGCTCCGCAGGACAGCTGCCCCGAGAACGGCCTGACTCGGACCCCAGAATTATCAGATAGGAGAAAACCCAACCCTGAACTCCCTGGGTGGCGGCCAGGGCAGCTGGACCCTAGGGCCTTCGGAGGGAAACGCATGGTGGCCAGAATTTCTGGAATGATCTCCCCAGGGGCTGAGCAGCTTTTACTGTCGGCCTATGGCTTCCAGGCTAGGTTGTCCTGACTCTGACATGACCCTCCAGCCATCAGTGAGGGGCAGAAATGTCCTGGACCGGGACATAAGGGCCTTGGGTGCCACGCCAGGCAAGGACAGGGCAGAGGGGGCTGCAAGGAGAGCTGGACACAGCCCAGGTGGGGCTGCAGGAGGGGTGGGCACTGCTGGAGGCTCAGGACCCCTTGCCCACCCCACAGTCCCTCCTGCTGCCTGCCGGCTCCTGCCTCTCTGAGGCGCCAGCCCAGAGTGACCAGGCAGCGCACCTTCTGGAAGTAGCCCCTCTTCACGGAGCGGTCCTTCACCTGTCTGAAGTACACGTAGCCGAAGTAGTGCGCCGGCTCCCTCTGGAAGGTGCAAGGGTTAGCCAGGCCATGCCCCACCCAGACCACCTGGCCAGCCCCAGGGCTGGGAGTGGCAAGAAGCATGCAGGGATGGCAGCAGATGGGAGCCTGGAGAACCAGGAGGCTCCTGGAGCTTCTGTCCCTGCCCTCTGGCCACCAAGGCGGAGGCCAGGAGGTCCTGGGCTCAGAAGGTGGGTAACAGCCCTGCTGATACAGCAGGGAGTCTGCTGGTGTAGGGGAGAGGGGTTCAGGGTGCTGGGGGCCCTGGGAGGTTCACGTGGGCCCCTGTTCAACTATGCAGATGCCCAGTCACGGATGTGTGGTGCCAAGGGAAAGCCCCAGGGACCCTGGGGAGACCCCAGAAGAGCTGGCCCATCCTCAGTTGGGACTGGTGCCTGGGACTGCAGGGTCAGCGGGGCATGGCCAGCTCCTCTCCTGCCACACAGTGCCCAGGCACTCCGAAGGGGCTTCTCCCACCAGCCTGACCCTGGCAGGACCCGTGGGGAGCAGGGGAAGAGAAGCAGGCCAGAGACGCAGCCCAGTGCTCACCTGCAGTGCCACGGGGGCCCTGCTGTTGTAGTGCCTATCGTCGGCATGCCAGGGGCTCCTCTGCCCTCCACACTGGCGCATGCGGAAGCTGAACTGAGTGTCTCCAAGGCAGCCTGAGAAGGGGGCAGCCCACCACACGTCAGGGCCGGGAGCTGGGGACCGGGGAGCAAGGGCCCTGCGAGCCTGGCCTCTGCTGTTAGCCAGAAACCAGCCTGGCCAACACAGTGAAACCCTGTCTCTACTAAAAAGACAAGAAGTAGCCAGGCATGGTGGCACACGCCTGTAATTCCAGCTACTTGGGAGGCTGAGGCGGGAGAATCACTTGAACACGGGAGGTGCAGGTTGCAGTGAGCTGAGACTGCGCCACTGCACTCTAGTCTGGGTGACAGAGTCAGACTCCATCTCAAAAATAAAAAAAAAAGCCTCAGAAAGAATGCCCAGCTGAAGGGGCCTGTGTTTCCCGGTGGGCCCCTATTCTGACTCCTGCACACCCTGCACCTACAGGCCTTAGTATATGTTCGCACAGAAACGCACCTTCAGCCTATCTGGGAGATTGGCTCAACATGCTTGAGACAGAAAATGGTTACCCAGATGTCTATGCCCCAGGGAAGGAGCGGGAGGGAGGCCCAGCCCCTTGTGGCCACTGTGTGGGGTGTAGGAGACTGTTGGTCTCTGCAGAGACACCCTTTCCACGTGCATCTGGGGACCTGCCTGACCGGCTGCAACGCGGAGATCTGGGTGCCTCCACTGAGTGGGCATGGCGCTGGTGCTGCCCACCCCCTGTGGCACTCTGCACATGAGCAGCCTAGGCAGCCGTGATGCCCCTGGCCTGGGCTACAGGGACGCCCAGCTGGCTTCATGTCCAGCCCCAGTAAAGATGGGGTCACCTACCTGAGTGTGAGTCGGGAAAAGACAGGTAGCAGATGCTGCTTTTCTGAAACATACAAAACCCGGTGAGGGCCGACCCACTCCTGGGTCCCGTCCATTCCCAAGAGGGCCAGGACCCACCTCCTTGTCTGTGAGCCGGAAGTCATTTGGATACACCAGCTGCAGAGGAAGACAGAGCGCCTGGTGACGCCATCTGCCCAAGGAGGCAACACCCCTTGATGGCACCGGCTGGACTGGGACCGTCCCAGCAGCTGCAGCATCTGTCTCTGGGGCGCAGGTCAGTGCCATGGTGCTGGCTCGCCCCCGGCTCCCTGCTCCAACAGCGTGCTGCGTCCTCCCCACACCATCTTCTCTGGCTACTGTGCCCAGCTCCTTGCTGACCCGCTCCTCTCTCTGACCTCCAGGCACCAGGCCCCAGGCAACTAACTCCCCTGCTAGCTCTACTCTCACCTCCCCAGGTCCGTCTCAGTAAGAGGCCAGCACAACGGGGTGGGCTTCCTGACCCCTTTCTCACACCCCTGGTCCTCACAGCCACCCAACCACCTCTTGCCCAGACTGTAGTTGGGCCCCCCTGCCCCTACACACCCAGACATCAGTTCACAGCATCAGACATCAGAAGGGTAGTGCTTCAGGGATCCAGAGGCCCCTCACCCGGGACGGTCACAGGGCCCCACCTGGCTGGTCCTCCATCTCCATCACCACCTGCCAAACCAGAGGGCCCCGGACATGCTGCTCCCCGAGCTTTTGCTCAGATGCAGGCCCGGAAGCACCCCTGCTCCATGATGGCAGCCTGCCGTCAGGCCCTCTCCCCATTGTGCTCAGTAGTCTTCACCTAGCCTCCCCCTGCCAGGGCCTGTGCCCCACCTGCAGTGCCCAGTGAATGCCCAGCCGGACAAGCCCTGCGCCCCCAGGAGTGGACAGTGGGGGAGAGCATGACACTAAGCAGGCGCTGAATGACCTGGAAGACGGGTGTGCACTGACAGAGGCAGCAGGTGGGGCAGGTGACCCTGGGAGCCCAGCCCAGCAGGTCCATGCACACGTGGACCACTTTCCGTCTAGGGACCTCCCAGGGCCCCCATTCCCAGTGGACCCTGCAGTGTCTCCTGGGCTGTCTGAAGCCTGCTGGGAGGGCCTCTGTACACTGTCCCCTCCTCATCCCATCTGCGCAACTTCTCCACTGAGTTGAATCTAGGCTATAATAAGGCTTCTTCCAAGATGTGCCCTGAGCCCCCAGACAGTGAGGAGCCAGGCCCTGGATGAAAGCATCTGCCATTTTGTTTTTGAGAGACGGGGTCTTGCTCCGTCATCCAGGATGGAGCGCAGCGGCGCAATCACAGCTCACTGCAGCCTTGAACTTCTAGGCTCAAGCAATCCTCCCACCTGAGCCTCCTGAAGTGCTGGGGGTACAGGCGTGAGCCACTGTGCCCCGCTTGCTCTGTGAAAATAGCTCTGCTTTTGTTTGCTCTGGGCTTGCTACTGTGGTCGGTCCTGCTTTGTCTCTTCCAACACAGAGCAAATCTCTTTAAGGCAGGGACCCTGTCCTGGTTACTTCTGCCTCCCAACACCTGGCACAGAACAGACCCTCCCCAAATACAGTGTTTGTGGCATATGTGATGAGGTCTCTGAGGTCTACTAGGACAGGTGGGTGGAGGGCAGCTAAACAGGCACCAAGGAATGGTCAGGAGGAAGACGAAGGAGGAAGCTGGGAGTAGACTGGACCCACAGGGGCGCCTCAGGATAGCTCCGTGAGGGGCTGGGGATATAGGACCACTCAGTCTGAGCCTTCATGTGTCCGCACTGAGGAGGGCTGAGGAAAGGCAGGTACCCTCTGCCTCAGGTCAGGACTCTGTACCTGGTCTGCTGGTCACGGGGGCTTGTGGCCTCTGAGCTCTGTGCCCATGCCCACGGGGCCCTCAGCATGTCTGACCAGGGAAACCCACATTCTCAGGCTCATCATCTTTGGGAGTGGCCCTGGGGCCCAGTTACAGCCTGAAGCTGAGTACTGAGCCAGGGGTCAGGCTACCTGGGGTTGGGCATGCCAAGGTGAAGAGACACCTGGAGCTGATCCTGAGGGCATGCAGGCCTCCCAGGCCAGACTGTGCCCTGCTTGGGCTTCCGCAAGGGTCTCGCCCTTTTCACCTGAGGCAGCCTGCACCGGTCTCTGCTCCTGGTGAGCAGTCACTGAGGAAGACTGCGGGTGGGAGCTTGACTTAGAGAAGGCACATCCAGGGAGCAGTTCTGAAGGTATGGCCTGGCCACCCTCGGGATCCCCGGGGTCAAAGCTGTTCTCCTATGCGAGAGCCTCCTTGTCTCTCATCTTCACCCTCATGTACAGCACGGCTCCTGGAAGCCAGTGTGTCCCGTCCTGGTGGGCTGAATGCAGCGCTGATGAGAATCCATCTGTTTTCCATTTGGTTGGACTTTTTTTTTTTTTTTGAGACGGAGTCTTGCTCTGTCACCAGTCTGGAGTGTAATGATGTGATCTCTGCTCACTGCAAGCTCCACTTTCCGGGTTCAAGCGATTCTCCTGCCTCAACCTCCTGAGTAGCTGGGACTACAGGCGCCTGCCACCATGCCCGGCTTTTTTTTTTTTTTTTTTGTATTTTTAGTAGAGACG